ACTGAGTGTGAGCCGGGAGCCCCGGTCCCGGGCGGGAGGGGATTGGGGTGCCGGGGCCGCCGTCCCCGCGGGGGCTGGTCCCTGCTGCGGGAGACTGGGGGTTGCTTTGGGTCCAGGACGGGGCTGAGCCCCTCTGGCTCCGGGGGTTGTCGCTGGTCTCGTAGGGAGAGAGATGTTGGGCACAACGGGCTTTTGGTGTCCTCGGGACGGGCAGTGGGCGAGCCCGGCTTCTCGGGGGCTGTTCCAAGCTGCCCTTTGCCGAGGCAGCCGGAGGGCGAAGGCGGGAGGCGGCAGGGAAGCCCATGGACCCGCTGGGTCACTGGCTCATTCGCCTCTTCCCCCGTCCCCTGGCAGCGGTGTCCACTTCTGTCTTCATCGTGGCGATCCTCATCCTGCTGCTGCTCCTCTACCACCGGGACCCCATGTGCTGCCAGTTCCTCTGCTCCTGCCGCTTCTTCCAGACCCCCAGCCAGTATGTGAGTGTCCTCCCTCTCCTCCTCCTGCCCACGAGTCCCCAGATGCTCCCCAAGCTCTTTCTCCCTTGCGCTGGAGTCTGCGAGGCTGCATCACCGGGCTCGCTGATGGACGTGGGACCTCTGAGCAGAGCCGGGCTCTGCCTCCTCCTTGTTCCCACTCCACCCCAGAAATCCATCCACCCAGCTCTGCCTGGCTGCGTGCTGGGGATTGTGTCTCCAAGGCCCAACACTAGCAGGTTCCCCAGCTCCCCACGCAGCTCAGGAGGGGCTGTTCTCCTCCCCCGATGCAGTCGTGTGTGGGGTCGGGCTCTGCTTTACAGGGAAGGGGCCCAGCGGGGAAGGGGGCTGGAATCTCAGGGCGAAGGCAGACAAAGCCGCTAGCTAGTAGCACTCGCATCCTCAGCAACTGGCTCTCTTGTGCACGGCTCCCGGGCACGGAGCGGGGAGAGACAAAGCCCTTTCGCTTGCATCTGTAATTTCCTGGGGCTGGCTTTCAAGTGGGGAAGCTGGTGATGGAAAAAGAGCAGTGTGTTCAGGCAGAGCTGCCTTTGTGGTGGTGGCTGCCTGGGGAAAGCTGAGCCTCCAAAGCTGCAGGGATGACTGTTGAGGGGAGGGCTGCCAGTACCGCTCCAGAGCTCCCGGGAGGAGAAATCTAGCCTTGGCTAGCAGGGGATGGAGAGACTTGTGCCATGAAAGGCAAAGTCCAACACAGGCTGGGAAGTCCCCTATAGAAATCACAGTGGGAATGGGTTGCACTGCTGGTTTCCCCTGCTTGCTTTGCTGCCACTGCTCCTTTCCCCCTTTTCCTCCCTGCCACCTGTCCGTGGGACGCATGGGGGAGAGGACTCTGACGCTGTGCTCCTCGCCTGCAGAGATGCTCCCTGAGGCAGTGTGGGACGCGCTGTGAGCTGCAGAGCCTTCGCTGTGTTCGGGCCTGGCCCTCGGGTGGGTGGTTAGAGAAGGCATCTTGCCTTTAGCAAAGGGTTGTGTGGACAGATGGATGTGGATGCAAAAAACTATATATGGAAAGGGAATGTATATAGGATGTATTTCCATCAGAAAAAGTGAAGTGGTAGTGGTGTGAGGCAGCTCTCAAGCAGGTGTAGTTGTGCTGGTTTTGCTAATCAATTAAAACAAACAGTTGTGCCCCAGCCAGCCGAGTTTCCTGCAGCTTCTGTAATTGTGTTGTAGAGCCAAGACAAACGGTTACTTGGTTGATAAGAGCAAAAGCAAATCTTTCATTTGTAGACCTCTCTGGAGATCCCTGGTTGCTCTGGGAGGCTCTGGGCCATACTCTGCTGGCAGAGGAGACAGGGCTTTTCTGAGAGTGAGGAACAGCCCACAGCTCCAGTCCTGGCTCTGGCTCGAGAGGCTGCTCTCCGTGAGAGGGATCTCTGCTTGCTGTTGCTCAACACCTCGACAGGGAATTGAGTTTAACTGGCACAGGACTGCTCAGGAACAGAACAGCTATTGCTCTGCAGATTTGCTTGCTATGTTATCCTGAAATGACTACCTGGGTGGATAAGAGTTTACAAATTCCATAACCCTGAACATGTGATGGAGCTCTTATCTACACTAGCAGAATAGCTGGGGTTTTTTGTCCCCCCAAGAGAGATGGTTCTGCTGAGTCTGAATGAAACCCCGCCTTGGGCCCAGGCTGCCGACCCTCCGGCTGCACTCCACACTTCGAGCAGGCTCTGTGCTGCCTGGTGGGGATGTGCCTGAGCTGTTGGTGCTGGTAAACAGGCAGGCAGAGGTTGGCTCCCAGCAGCAAGAGCCACGTGAGCCAAATGGGCAGAGGAGCAGCTCTCTCCCCTGCCCGGAGTCCTACTTCCCAGGCTGTCCAGTGTGAGCTGGCTGAGCTCTGCTCGCTGCCAGGCAGGATGCAAGGGATTTTGGCATTTCTCATGTCCTGTTCCGTCACGCCTTGTTACAGGACCGCCCCCCACCCTACTTCAGCAGCAGCCAGCGGCTGGTGGGTCCCCAGCATGGAGCATCACGGCTGGAGAGTGCTGCCGAGAGCCCTGGTGTGCAGGTGATGGCTGGGTGCCTGACGGGAGCTGGGGGAAATGGTAGCGAAGATCCTGGTGAGCTTGGGAAGAGACTGGGGGACCCAGGGAGCTCCTGGGGCACAGGGAGAAGGTGTTGAACAGCAGGAGTAACTTTGGGCAGTGCTGTCTGTATGTAAAAACCTGGCTGTGGGGGGCAGGGACACTGCAGAGGACACCACGGTGCCCTGAGGTGTTTGGGCACAAAACACCAGGCAGATCGTGGTGTAATTACCTGCTGGGAGGGAGGATTTCTTCTCTTGGGGTTCAAGGAAGGGCACCCACAACTGTGAACCCTGAAGTAACTTGAGGTAGTACCAGGCCACGAACTCTGAGTGAAGAAAGCCAGTGCCACACTGACCTTTCTCTTCTGGGCTGGGCATTTTTAGGGAGACGAGCTATTCTGCGTCGGACCCCCCAGCAGCTACCAGCTCCCTCCCTGGGAGCAGCCCCGCTTGCCAAGCTACGAGAGCGTGCGGAAGAAAGATCGCCAGCGGGAAATCCACCAGATGATTGCCGAGAGGTTTGGGCTCTGGGCAGAGCCTTCCCAGGAGGTGAGCTCCCCCTCCCCTGCACGAGGGTGCTGGCAGAGGCCCAGGGACAGCCCCTGCTCTAGTCCATATCTGGGTCTTGCTTCAGCAATTTGCAGTAGCTAAGGACTCTGTTCTCTGTGATTGCCTTTCTCCGATAGCTTTTATCTCTGGGAAGGGCACAAAGTGTATCAGGAGGCTCCTTTGGTGTACATCTGTGCTGGTTAATGATCCATCTCTTCCAGTGCGTTCGCAGAAATGCCTGTGCCAGGAGGCAGGGCAGGCCTTTCAGATCAACTGCTCGGTACAAGTCCAAGCTGGGAATGTTATTTTTAGATCTGTAAGGCTTCCACGGCTTCTTGCTCCCTTCTCCCTGCAGGACAGCTCTGGGAGGCCCCTCAGTATTACCTTGAAGTGTTTATGGCTTATTTATGAGCAGGAGGCTTTGCCTGTTACATTTAAGATTTGTGCTCCCACAGAGCACAACAGAACAGAGAATAGCGAGTGCATCTGCCAAGCAGGTCCTGTGGCAGTGTCCCAAGAGACTCCCGTTGAACAAAGCAGAACAGAAACATCTGAAACCCTGAGCAGAACACTAAAGGTTCACTGATTTACCTGGATTTTGAGCTCTTTAAAGCTGTACCATGAAGTCTGGCACAGTCAGCCCTTGCCACTTGGTGTTTGGAGCTGTAACTAATGATACCAGCCCTGAAACCAGAGCACCGAGGGCACAGGAGAGCAAGGCCCTGAAGATGAGTAGCTGAGGAACTGCAGTGGGAGCTCTTTTACATCATCCCTGTGACACTCCTGTCACTTGTTATAGGGAAAAAGCTTGCCCAGCTCTGCCAAAATAAATGTAACCACAGCCTGGAGGTTGTTCTCCACTGCTGTGCAGTGAGACTCACTGCCAAAACCTGGCTAGGAAGCCTGATTTGTAGATGCTTGTATAAATCCCAGTAATTGATCCTTGGTCAAAGGAAAGCAAACAACAGTCCTCTTGACTTCTGTTAAGTCTTTTCTGGCACTGTGACAATTGTTTGAAGGGGATCAGGGAAGAGCAGGAATCTGGCACAGAGCATGAAGGGGGAGCGGGGGGAACAGGCCTCTGCAGTGGCTTTCTGCCCTACCCTATTGCAAACTGGTGCTGAGCGCTCATCTTCCAGGTGCTCATCTCGCCAGCAGCCTGCTGCTCTGAGGACTGCAGGAATTTAATTTCAAGCTGGTGGTGGTTGCGAGCCTTGTCATCGGCTCTGTAAGGAGGTGGGATAATCTTCCTGGTTATTTCTGATCAGCTGTAATGCTCTTCCTCTCTCCTCAACAGATGCCACCTCCCTACGAGCATGCTCTGAGGCATCCTCCCGCTTTCTCAGGAACAGTTATAAGCTCAGAGACCTTGGACAGACGCAGTGTGCCAGACCCCTTCCAGACTGCTCTCAGCTACCCAACTCAGCGAAACACAGCCGTGTGAGGCCTCGGCCTCAGCGTACCGCTGCTTCCCCTGGTGTCAGCGACAGAAGTGCCTGTGACATCGTTCTCATCCCCTGGGAACGGCCAAACGTCAGACCTTCACCCCAATTCAGTCAGCTGAGCCACAGGCAAGTCAGACCCAGACGGTGGAGACATCCCTCCTGCAGCACAAGGACAACCGCAGAGCCGCTGCCAGGATCGCAGCATGAGCGGAGCAACCGGTGAGGGCTGCTGGCGTTTCTCTGGCCAACGTACCATTACCAAAGGACACGGAGCAGCTGCCTGCTCCTACCTGTGGCAAAACCAAGGTGAAGGGCTGCTCAGCCGGAGCTCCTCCAGGCAGCTGGTGCATCATACCTCTGTGAGGCAAGCGCTGCCGGCTGTACCAAGGAGCAGGCCTCAGGCAGGGGGCATGTTGTGCTACTTCACTTTATTTATTAGGTTATAAAATATTTTACTTTGTGGGTGTATGGGTGACCAGATAGAAGGAATCTGCGTCAGCATTGACGTGAGCTCTCCGGCAACGGTCCCCTCCAAACGAGAGTGATTTTGTATGGACTGGGAGAGGCTGCAGGGGCTGTAGGCAAACACCGACCACCGAGATGAACCGTGTGACTGGGTGTGCAAGCTGGGAAAGGACAGAAGCATGGACAAAACAGCTGGTGGCTTCCACGAACATAAAGTGAAGGTGGACATGCATGGCTGACCCACTTTATGCAGTCGTCTTCTACAAAGCAGACAATCTAATAATGTCAACACTGGTGCCCTTACACCACCAATTTTGATAACCTGTTTTCTACTGCAGAGCCAATGTTTCAAATTGTTTACAAACTTGCAGATAATATTAGATCAGTTTGGCCACAGGGCATCAAGGCTCCTTTCTTTCAAGCAACATAAACTCGAAAATGTCACGGAATGACTCGGGGAAGACAAAAGGTGAAATCTTGTGGATTATGGCTTTATGACACACTGCCAGCCGCTGAGCTTCAGACAGTGCCCCAGGGTTGTGCATCTTACCAGGCACTCTAAAATTAGTCACGAGTGAGATTTACAAGTGTGAACTTGCCTCACGTGGCTAGTAAATGGAATACTTTCAGATACTTGAGTTAATCATTGAGGTGAGTTAGATAGAAAGAAAAAAAGAGCTTCCTGGGATGCAGAACTAGGTGCAAGTGGAAACAGATTTGTTCTGCAATATTTTGAATTAAGATACAAATATAACAGTAATGTCTAAAAATGAGTAAAAATAGAGAGGGAATTATCAGTGGGATAAGTACCGATATCAGAGTGACTGCAGAGAGAATGATGCAGTGGCACAACGGTTCTCCCAAGGAAGGGAGCTCCAGATACTAAATGAACATAAGTAACACATTCTTTGAAGAGCCAAGGCCTTCAGCAGCCCCTCAGCATTTATTAAACACATAAAAATGCTGGCAGGTGATCCCAGGGCCTGAACACTGACCACGTGAGCTTATGAGCACAAAACCGAAGTCCTAAACTGGTATCTTCAGAGCTAGAATATTCCTGTCCTCAGATGCCAGTCCAGCTGTAGTGGTCTGTCCCAGCCACTCCTTCCTCTCGTCCCTGCTGACACAGGAGGCTCAGAGCATGGTGACCAGTTTAAAGCTCCCCACTTCCGTGGTAGGAATAACGTTGATAAAGGTTTTATAAAGAATTGCTCCTTTGGGAAGTTGACAGATCACTTCCCTGCTCTCGGCGCTGCGAGGCAGAGGTATGTAGACCTCTTTGGTGTATCGTACGATCCCATCCTCCAGGGCGTAGAGGGTCTTGTTACGGCCCATCCCCACCTGGAAGAGGATGAGGAGTGTTAGAAAGGAAAGGCCAGAGGTCCATCCCTAAAGCAGATCTGATCACTGGTCTGCCTCACTTGATATCCTGCCTTCAACAGCATCTGTTGCTTTTTATTTTAAAATAAAACCCCACTGCTTGCTTCCAGCAATCAGTATGCAATGGTGCTTGTTACAAGGGAGGAGACACTGATTCCACCCTGAAGCACTACACTCAGTCAGTTACAGAAGTGTTTTGGGATATCTCTAACTTTTAGACCCTTCCTGAGTCACACGAGCACAGGTGTGACTCTGAGCAGGCTCTGCAACAATGAAGTACCACGTAATGAAACCCAGTTTCGGGATTATATAGAATATAGGGAAAAGCATTAAGAATGAGCTTGAAAGAGAGGAGGCACCGAGTATGGGACTCTGCTGTGGGCTGCTGTTCTCTGAGAACCAAGGAAGAGATAGAAAACAACTTACATGAGCCCCTGGATGCCAGCGTATCAACCGCTGCGTAGCCAAAATGTTGCCTGCATGCACAAATGCGCCTGCAACAGAGTGACAGAGTCAGACTGCAGAGAAATGGAGCTCCCTGAAGCCTGGGCAGAACACAAATGGTTCCAGGATTACAAACCCAGCTTTCTGTGGGAATTTTCTAAGGAAAAATTACTTCAAATGCTAAAAGCATCTAAACAAAAATGCTGTTAGCAGGAAATAAAGGGCAACTGATATACAATGGCAAAAAGCAATTCTAGTCTTTGAAAACATTACTTCTATGGTACAAGGCATTTTCTGGTTGCTTGAAGGCATTTGTTTTATTACCTTTTACACCAATATGTTTTCATCAGCAAAGCTAATAATTATGAAGCACTCGGCTGCAAGAATCTGTACTTTGGCTTCTGCTAAGCCTGATAATTCTCCCCTTTGTAAACATAAAAAATGCCCAGCTTTTCAACACAGCGTGGGGGGAAAGTGCACACACTTAAGTTATCAGGTGTCCCACAGTGTACCCTCCTCCCAGGAGCTCCAGAGGGGCAAAGTTAGAATCAAAGTACATTTTCTGTAAGCAATTTGAGCTGGCTGGTTGTGGGACCATCTGGGAGGGAGGCTGACTCACTGCTAAACCTCCCCTTTCTCAGTGAAGAGCCGCCTGGCCACCTCCTCCTGAAAAGCTCAACTGACTCCCAGACCAGAGGAGAAACTGGGAATAACCCAGTGAAATGCACATGAGACTCAGTAGATACTCAGACCTACCTTCTACTTTTTTGTATCCATAGCGCTTCCCAGGGCTGCGGCCACCTAAATTTTTTGTGCTACCCCCACTTTTCTTAGAAGCACATCTGACAGCAACCAGGCTTGTTTGAGGAGTAGTAAGAACTAGATTGGGAACAAGAACAACAAAAATATCAGCTGCAAAAAAAAATAAATATACATGCTTTCTTTTTTCATATTTAAAGGATGTCAGTTAATACAAGCTTTAAAACTAAAGACAAAAGAAAGCTCATGGAAAAAATCCTACTTCCAAGATAAATAATAAGTAGACCACCGAGGCCTATGTCCCCTGCAACAAGGCCACATGTCAAGTACTACTGCTGCCCAGCAAGGAATAAAACCCTTAGCAACAATGAAAGAACATGCACAAATTCCTGTTTCAGCAAGGCCTTGTAAAATGAGGTACAGAAGTTACCAGTTGCTGTGCATTGGCCTTATACTGCTTTGAGAAAAGACAAGTTGTGATCTCTGTTTCAGCTTGTCCTTCGATTGAATGGCATTTACTTACACAGTAATATTTTGAAATCTTGCAAATGCAAAGACTCTGATTGAGGACAATATACAAGCACATATAGAATTGTTACCCTGAACATACTAATTGAAGCATTTTGTGCAAATCCTTGAGTTACAATCAGGACAAGTCTAGGAAAAAAAAAAAGTTGTTACAGACACTGATTGTCTCCAGAACACAAAATATCATTCACACCCCAAACTTCTTTCTTAAACAATCAGAAGACTGACAGAAAACACATTGTTTTTCTTATTAAGAAAGCTGACCCTCTCATGAACTTCTCTCTGTTAAAAATAATTGAGATATAATTAGTTCTTAAAAATCTTTTCAGTACCTTCTTCCATGCAGTTTGCAGGCAAATCCAATTTTTCTGAATACCTCTATCTGGCCTCTTAAGCAAGAGGTTAGTATGGATGAGTGGTTATCACAACATTCTTGTTTCCTTAACCCAAGTAAAACCACTGGATTAATTTAATCTTAATTAAATTGCCACAGATACCCAGTGACCTAGAAATGTGGTTGAGAAAAGGGTAATTGCTCTACAAAGAGCCATTAACTCCAGGAGCTTACCCATTAAGTAAAAGAAAGTCTCATGACAAACTACAGGGAAGTAGGCAAAGATGAACAATAGCTACAGTTCCATATAGTTACAGTCCAATTCACTTTTATCAAAAATACTCTCAACAGCTTGATTGCAGGGTTACATTTTGTGTTGCATCTAAGAACCTCAAAGCATCAGACTTACAGGGAAAAGCAGTTATCTAGAGAAGACTGAGAGAGTTTGTAACTTGACTAAAGTTATGCTGGAAGTCAGTGGAAAAAAATAACAATTCTGATGTCCCGCCGAAGAGAACCACGAGGCTATTTCTCTAACACTTCTAGATTTTTTAAAAAAAGGGATTTTTAAAGCCTACCGACTACTGCGCTGCTCGAGGAAAGCGCAGCACCCCTCGCTGCTTGGGCTCTACCTAGCGCACACGAAGACTGTTTTTCCAAAGATTTTTTTTTCACCACGAGGGCACTCCAGCAGCAACACAGAGAGGCGGTGCAAATCCCCATCCCTGGAGTCCGGAAGCGGTAAAGCCCTCGGCTCCACCTCAGAGCTGCCCCTG